TCTACAAAAAGTAGCAAAAGACTGGAAGACAAGTATAGGAACAAAGAACAAGGACAACGAATAGAAAACAGTAACAATATGGTAGAGATTAATTCAACTATACCAATAATCACTTTAAGCATCAGTGGTCTAAATATAATTATTAAAGACAAAGATTGTCAGAGACCCATACAAGACCCAACTCTATGCTGTCTACAAGAAACCCACTTTAAATATAAATAAACTTAAAGATTAAAAGTAAAGTATGGAAAAAGATATATCATGATAACACTAAATTTTAAAAAGCTGGAGTGGCTATATTTCAGACAGAGCAAACTTCAGAGCACGGAAAATTATAGGGACAAAGAGAGGCATTTCATACTAATAAAAGGAGTTAGTATTCCAAGAAGACATACAATCCTTAATGTATATGTGCCTAACAACAGAGCATCAAAATACATAAACTGATGGTACTTTAAGGAGAAATAAATGAATTCACTATTGTAAGTAAGACTTTAACAGTCCTCTGTCAGAAGTGGACAGATCCAGCAGGCATGAAATCAGTAAGGGCATAGTTGAACTATCAATTAACTGAATATGATTGACATCTATAGACCACTTCGTCCAACAACAGAATACACATTCTTCCCAAGCTCACATGGAACATACACCAAGATAGACAACATTCTGGAGGATAAAACACAACTTAAAAAATTAAAAAGACTAGAAATAGTACAATGTATGCTCTCAAACTACAATGGAATTAAACTAGAAATCAATAACAGATAGCTGGAAAATCACAAAATACTTGGAGATTAAATAACACACTTTAAAATAACACATGTGATTAAATCTCAAGAGAAATTGGAAAATATTTTGAACTAAGTGAAAATGAAAATACAACTTATTAAAATTTGTGAGATGCAGTGAAAGCAGTACTATGAGGGAAATTTATGGCATTGAATGCACATATTAGAAAGAATAATGATCTAAAATCAATAATCTAAACTTCTACCTTAGGACACTGGAAAAAGAAAAGCAAATTAAACATAAAGTTAGCAGAAGAAAAGAAATAGTAAAAATTAAATTGGAAATCAGTGAAATTGAAAACAGGAAATCAATAGAGAAAATCAACAAAAAGAAAAGCTAGTTCTCTGAAAAGATCAATAAAATCAATAAGCCTTTAGCCAGACTGACATTTTGGAATAAAAGAGAAAAGACGTAAGTTACTAATATTAGGAATGGATATTAAAAGAAGAGTAAAGAAATACTATGGACAGCTCTATGCCCATAAATTTAATAACTAAGATGAAATAGACAAATTCCTTAAAAGGTACAACTGCCAAAACTCACACAAGAAGTAGACCATCTGAATTAACATAGAGAAATGAACTAAATCTTGTGTTCATTGGTGAATTCTACCAAATATTTAAGGAAGAAATTGTACCAATTCTCAATCTCTTGACGATGTATAAAAAGAATTATACTTCATAGCCAAATGGGATTTATCCCAGTTATGCAAGGCTGGTGCGACATTCAAAAATTGATTAATGTAATCCATCATATAATTATACTAAGAAAAATCACATGATTATACGAATAGATGCATCTCCCACTGGAGTGATACATTTGTGACAGTCGATGAACCTACCACATTATAATGTCAACTGATGAACCTGCATTGACATATTATTATCATCCCAAATAAATATATGAAAAGATACTCCACATCATATATCATTAGGAAAATGCAAATTAAAACAACAGTGTGATACCATTGCTCACTGTTAGAGTGGCCAAAATCCAGAACACTGCTAATACCCAATGTTAGAGAGGAACTCTCATTCATTGCTGGTGAGAATGCAAAACGGTACAGCTAGTTTGGAAGATATTTTGGCAGTTTCTTAAAAAACTAAGTGAACTCTGACCATACAATCCAACAAACACACTGGCTGGTATTTATCCAAAGGAATTGAAAACTTATGTCCTCACAAAAACCTGCTCATAGGTATTTATAGTAGCTCTATTCGTAATTGCCAAAACTTGGAAGCAACCAAATGTCCTTCAGTAAGTGAATGGATACACTGTGGTATGTCCAGACATTGGAATATCATTCTGCATTAAAAAGAAATGAATTATCAAGCAGTGATGAGACATAGAATAACCTTAAATATCCTAAAATATTAGTAACCTAATATTACTAAATGAAGTAAGCCAATCTGAAAAGGCTATATGCTATATGATTCCAACTATATGACATTTGGAAAAGGCAAAAATCAGTGATTGCCAGGGGTTCGAAGGGAGGAAGAGATGAGTAGATGAAGCACACAAGATTTTTAGGGCAGCGAAACTAGTGTGTATTGCTCTAATGGTGGATACATGTCAATATATATTTGTCGAAACCCATAGAAGGCACAATACTAAGGGTAGACTCTAATGTAAACTATGGACTTGGGGTGATAATAATATGTCAATGCAGGTTCATCAGTTGACATTATAATGTGGTAGGTTCATCGACTGTCACAAATGTATCATTCCAGTGGGAGATGATAGTAGGGGAGTCTGTGCGTGTGTGGGGATGGGGAGTGTATGCGAACTCTCTATACTTTCTGCTCAAAGTTGCTGTGAATTTAAAAGTGCTCTAAAGATAAAGTCTATTTAAAAAGGAAAATAAATAAACTAATTGACAAGAAAAAAAAAAAGATAACATACAGGTCTTTAGCCTTGACAGAGTGGCTCTTTTCCCTTGAAACCGTGCTTTCTCACTGTCCTGCCACAAACTTCTTCCCTAGCCAAAGCAATCTGTTCAAGATCCCCCAAATATTCCTATCCTTTCCCACTGTCTTCCCAGCTCACAATGTCTTCTCTCCTTCTCTCAAGCACTGAGTCATACCCTCCCTGATTCATTCTTTCTAGAGGTGATGTCTCCGGCCTCTGAACGCCCCTGCATCTGTGCCAATCATCCAGCTTTTAGCATTGGCTACCCTGTGATGTTAGGTAGAGCATATGGTTTTTATGTGTATATATTAGTTCTCTAGTGTGCAAATTCTTTCAGGACATGGACCTTGCCTTATGATTTGTGGTATCTTCTTCAGACTCACTTGTATTTAATTCAAGGCTTAAATCAAAGTATCAAAATTTACATTAAAATTTCAGAGCAGTAAGTGGCCGCAAACATTCCACGCTGGGAGATGAATCTCACAGTTCCTCAGTGTTACAGTGCCACTAGGGAAATGACTCCAAAGCAGCATTCAGAGTTACCTTCTGACCTCCAAGGTGCTGGACCCATGGAAGTTATTCTTCTTGCCTTTGCGGTAAAGGCCTCAGGCTCCTCAGTGTTTGCCAAGGGAATCACTTTAGTCTGGGAAAACTTACACAGCTTATTACCAGAGGGACCTCACCTCTCCATACTCACCCTGGGGAGAGTGAAAATGAACCTCTTTCCAAAACTAATGATCTGAGATCCTTTTTGGGGGGCAGAAAGCTCGCAGTTCTGTCATCAGTCTTGTTCCCTCAGAGCTCTAGAGCAGTGATTCTCAATTTGGGAATACCCAAATTGATTGGTGGTGGCAGGAGAGGGTATTGCAAGGCTCCGTATTTGGTTCCATGCCTTCCTTCCCAACCCAGCCCCACCACATCCACACTGACTGAGAACCACTGCCCTAATTGTTCAACTGTTAGTGCGGAGGAACATCTGTCCTCTCAACTAGGCATATTCTACCAGGAAAATCAGATTATTTTTCAATGTACCTTAATTATACAAATATATCAGGTAAAAGGTACTGTGCTCATGCCCCAAATTATCTGAGCCATGATCTCGATCTGATCCTTTTGTTTTAACAGTTCTAACCTTATAGAGCATTCAATTCCACCTTGTTCTGTAGACAAGTCTGTGTATCCACAAAAATACACCATGTTTCTTTGTCTGTCCTTGTGAGTCTGAATAATTATATGGGATTTGGATAGCACATGTGCCATGTGTATTTATTGTGCTTGCAGGTACATACATGCATAGCATACTAATTGAATTATTCTAAAAACACAAATATTTTGCAGGGCTAGAGAAACACATACTAAATATCTAAATCTACAAACTGCTGACAAACGGCACCTTTTCTAACAAAAGAGAGCAGTTTAATAACAGTGTTAGAAAACTGGCAATATGTTTGTTAAAATCTTTAATTAGGGACGGGCTTTCCCAGAGGCCTCCGAAGGCAAGAGGTGTAAATGGAGAAACTGTCCCAGCCTGCATGCTCCGTGGTGGCTCTATTCCGAGCACAGATGGGCTGGTGAGGAAACTGTGAATGGACAAATGATAACAGACTATTCTGTAATTCCAACATCAGCTCATTAGCAATCTGTCAGAGATTTTAATATGTATACTTGGTGAAAATGCAGAAATCACCCTCTTGTTACGTGATCATGCACGTGTCTAATTGAAAAGGCCATTATAGATGGATTGGCATAATGGCCACTAATAAAATGATAATTTCGCAAGAAGCACAGGCATTTGAATGTTTTGTAGTCTTGTTGGAAAATGATGATTTTGTGTGCTTTTAGGCCATCACAGGAAGCTGAGATAACAATGGTTTCATGATGTAAATCATTAATAAATAAGCAGCTAGGCCAACATGGTGGGGAATGTGAGGGACATGAAGCCATATGGGTTTCCAGAGAATGAACAGTGACATTTTTCTCAGTTCTGAAAAAGACTGCGTCAACAATTTTAAATTTCCTTGGATCGCAGACCTGGTTTCCAAATAATTTTATGCTCACTAGTTAGGAATTCAATTAGTTGCCATTGAAAATATATTTATTAAAAAAGAAAAAGAAAAAGAAAATATATTTATTTAGGTTGTGCATATATAATAGACTGAATCTGATGGCTAATCAAGGTTTGATCTCTGAAGGAGAAAGAGAATGAACACTTATAGATCACCTATTATATGCCAAGTGCTTTACATTTGCAATCTTATTTACTTTTCACAACTACTCAATGAGATATTTCTCTCATGTTACAGGTTTAGAAGTAACTGAGCCTGAGAGAGATTACATGACTTCATGAAGATGGTATGGCTGGTAAGTGGAGATGATTCTATTTGAACTCAGTTCTGTATGGTTTGAAAGCTAATCTTTTTTTTCCACTGCATTATATTGCCTCTCAAGTTGTCTGTTGTGCACATTGAGAGTAGCCTTTTAAGGTTCTTATAACTTACTATGGGCAGACACAAGGGCAACTTAGATGAAGCCATCAAATTTCATTGGCACAAATGGACACTGATTTATTTAAAGTATATACTTTAAGATTTCTTTTTAGACGATATCTATGCTTTACTATTGGGACAGGTCTGCACATGACATGAGAAGTTAAACTTATGATCTATAATATCTAGTCAAAAATAGTTCTGAAAGAGTACATATATGATTCTGTTTATGTTAAGCTCAGAAACAGGTCAAACCAATTAAAACTGTTAGAAATCAGGATGGTGGCTACCTTTGGCGAGAACAGTGACTGCAAGCAGGCACCATGGGATGTCTGGGCTTAAGGTATTCCTCTATTTCTTAATTTGGATGCTTTTTACCAGTATGCTCACTTTGTGAAAATGCATTGAGTTTGTAAACTTGTGATTTGAACACGTTCCTCTATGCATATCATACTTCAATAACATTTACACCCCCCAAAATGGAAGACAGCTTTTTTCCCTTTTATGATTCAAATTGGATGCCTACTCATTTAATTTCTATGTTTTCTGTGGCCTTGGCAGAATTGTTCTTTATTTTCTTTATGAAACTTATAGCTAGCTGGAAATCTTCACTTTCTAGAGTTTGGAGACTGTGAGCAGGGAAACATGTGCCTGCCTTTGTTCATGTGAGCATGTGTGTATACTTTTAAGCATGCTCATATCCTGGAAATGGAGAAATACCTGTATTCTTTCTTACTCTCATCTCTCAAACTCCTGGAAAACCTGGGGTGAAAACAGAATACTAACCAAATGTGAATTTTATGTAAGTGGAGCTTGGGGATGGAACTATCTTGCTTGGTGACCCCTTGTTGGCAGCAATCTCCTGTGCAAATATCAGTGGCAGGCACTTCCCCTCTCAGGAACCAACTTCTCCAGCCAAGATGTTGAACCCTCTTTTACCTTGTATCTTTGCCCCATTCTTCCTCAATTCTTCTCATTGTCAGGCTCCAGTGGAAGAGCCAAGGGGTTGCTCAAGGAGGATTTATGCATCCCATAGACACCCAAAGGGCTAATTCTGAGGGCTCTTGGACAGACATCCTGTTCACCGGTACCTCAGACACATTTTCTACCTTAAAGCACGTACTTACTTTCATTACCCAATCTTTTTTTTTTTCTTTTTTTATCAACAAGATATCTACAAATGATGTAGATTGTTGAAATACTACAATGCATAGCCTTTGCCAAAATAACTGCCTGATTTCTAGAACTTTATCCTAAGGACATCATCATACAAGTTTGCAAAGATATATATTTCTCAAAGTGTAGTTCAAGGACTACCAATATCAACATCACGTATAATGCTTGGTAAAATGCAGATGGCTGGATTTTATGCCTTTCTTATTGAAGCAGCATCTCTACATGTGGGGCCCATGCATCCATATATGTAAAATACCCCAGATAATTCTTGGTCACATTAAAGTTTCAGGATCACTCATGTACAGGGATGTTATTGCAATATTATTTAAAAGAGGAACAAAAGGAGGGGATCCTGAATATTAGAGGATTAATTAAAATAATGATAATACAATAATATTCTGCAGCTTTAAATATGTGATGTAGATCTATATTTATTGACATAGAAAAATGTTTACACCATATTGCTGAATGACCAAAAGCAGATTACACTACAGCATGTATTATTTGATAACATTTTTGTTTCTAAATATGTGTGTGGGTGATGACAGAATATCAACAGTGCTTATTTCTGGGTGATATCCATATTTTTCATTGCTTTCCTCTAGATTTTTTGTGTGTTACTTTTATATTCTAATGACTGAATAAAGCTTATTAAAAACAGAAAAAGAAAACTATTTGATATTTGATTTCTTGGACAGGAATTTCAAGTGTACCATCTTAATGAAATTTGTGCCTGGTTAATTCAGAAGATAACAATGGCTGTTTGGTCCTTTTAAGATGTGAATTATCTAGAAGACATCTTTCTGTTGGTCCATAGATCAGTCAATGTTGCTACTGGAGTATAACCTTCTGAACACAACAATGACTTTATGGCTGATGTTTTATATCATTAGAACTAGTGCCTTTTGTGGAGGGTAAGAATGGTGAGGAGGGCTAAGAAATGCATTGTTTGATTTTGGGAAGTGAATCTGATGCTTAAAGAAAGACTGTCCAAATCTTCTATGTAGGAAAAGATGTGAGCAATGGAAAAGAGTACTAAAGAAAAGAATGGGCCACTGAATTGCAATTGTATCCTGCTTTTCATGATTTCTTTCAATCTCTTGACCATAAAAGCAGTCCCCCTGCAACCCCCTCCCCTTTTTTTTCTTCAGCTTATTCTTGTAATAAAAGAGAGGCAAAATGAGATCCACCGAAAATTCTGGTATTTTGCCTTTCAGACTACAGTCTTGAGAGTGCATTTTTCTTAATCCAGTTCTGTTTTAAATGTTGTCAGGATGTACCATAATTGGTTGTGGTAAATGACACTGGAACCACATTGCTACTCACTCTAGAAATGATATGAGTTCAGCATACTGCTGATCAAATGTATTTCTGCATTAAAACTATTATAGACAGAATGCCTCAATAGGATTCTTTCTCGTAATAGTTTTCCAGGGTTTATGCTGAAAGGGTTCTGTCAATCAAGTCTGAAAATCAGCTTAGCACCCTGACTCCGGTTAATAAAATGCAACTGCCAGGATCTCAGCTCAGAGGCCACAGTTCCCTAGTTCCGACATTATCAAGCCCCACTAAAAATGCCTCATTATAATTGATACTCACTGATAATACACTTTTTCTTTTTTAATGCAAAGAATAACCCCAGAATGAGTCTTTGCCTTACACAAAGACTGCTAGATGAGACCCATATCAAAGACAATAGCAAAGAGGAAATAGGGCAGGCTAAATGTATTTTTGCAAGTACCCTGGAGACAGACTTGGTGCAGATTCTGACTTTCTTGGGTAGCTTAGAGTCAGGATAATGTACCAAGAATCGATACAGAAATAGGGATATGGTTGTGAAGGGGGCTCTGATAGCACTGTCAGCAATAATGAAAAAATGAGAATTCCAAATGAAAAAAAAATTATTTTACTAAGGAAAACAAGATGTCACAATGCAGAAAGCCTGTGACAACTGATATGCCAGTTAGAAGAGAAAAAAAGCCTCTCGAATCACTAAGTCACTGCCTGGCCGTGTAGTCTCCATGTCACTATCTCTCAGTTCTTCTAAGACTAAGACTTCTAGGTCAATTGATTCCAATTTTCTTCAAAAAGAAATATTTCTCTTTTGGTTTCTTGGACAGAGGCACCCACACTAAGACGATCCGCATTAAAAGGACATTAGGGAAGTCAAAGTGCCGGAGGGAAGCTTGATGGCTTTCAAACTATTTCTGCTTTCTAGAAAGTTTCTGCTGGCTGCCTCTGAGGAAGGAGAAAATGGAATAAACAAACTAAGCCTGGGATGAGGGGTGGGTATTCCCATCCAGTGAATTCTCAGAATGGTGGAATATCACTAATGTGTACAACAAAGTAGGAAACTGAGGAAGGAACATTATTAATTATACTTCAATGTTGTTTACTCGAGAGTCTCCATTCAGAGGCCACTGCGGTGATTTCACAGGAAGGGAGAGGAAAACAGATTTTCATGGGTGGGCAAGCTATTTTTGGGAAAGTTTTTAATGAGGCATGCTGGGCCTGGTCTTCTTAGCATGACCAAAATGGCTCTGGAGGCTGTGGGCTCACATGACATTGACATAAGGGAACGCTAGACGTCATTCTATTTGCTTCAGATTCCTTCCCAAACATTACTTGCCTGAATTTCCTCAGTCAAGTGAAAAGAATAAGCATCTGCAAATTTTTCATTTGATTGTTTTATTACATTGGCTCGTGTTTCTTCCAGATGCATTTGTCTCCAGTTATAGCTTCCAGCACACATTCCCCCATGTGCAGGCGAAGGGCAGAGCCTCCCGCACTCCCTTTGCAACGAGTCGGGATGGTGTATATTGAGGACTTACATTCTGCACCTTGTCTTGAGCTCTTTATAAACCTTCTCTCCACCTGACACACAACCCTGTGAAGTTGGTAGTGTTCATTTTATTCCCAATTTACAGGAAAATTGAGTTAAGAAAAAAACTGAGTCACTTGCTCAAGATCATCCAGCCGGTAAATGGATTCTAACTTGGTGTGTCTGTCTGCAAAGGCCTGCTCCTTCACTGCTATGCTCTGTACCTTCTGGGCTGATGACACTCCATGCTTGAGCCCCTCCGATATGAGTTCTTAGTGTCCCATAGTTGGTAGGAAAGGCTGCTCTATCTCTAGTCCTGGAACAGGCCTTGGGGTACTCTTTGTTCCAGACTTGTTTTGTTGCCCCTGAAGAGGAGACAGCCTACTAAATTGGGTTTCCCGACTTCAACTGGCGTTTTTTCTTAAAATTGAAACTAAAACTTATGAAAATAGGTATGTTCCAGGAATTAAGTCTGTGGACTCAATTACCCCAAAGCTTAGTAGCATACGACAATAAAGTATTTTGCTCATTGATTCTGTGGGCTGGGAATTTAGATAGGGCACAGCACATCACTCAGTGACTCCGTACCATCACTTTCACTGACTTCAAGAAATCCTCTCTCATCTACTTACTTTGTAACCATAAGGACTCAGATAACTAATATTATAATAAATATTTTACCCCCCACTGCTACCCACTTGACTCCTGCCTCTTCCTTCCCTGAAAACACCTGAAAGCAATACCTCATCACACTGCACCACACTTCTGTGTTAGTCCCTAAAATATAGTTCTGCCCCTTGCCTCCCATTACTCTCTGTGCCTCAGTTAGGATAACTGAGCTTTGATGATAGAACTCATTGTAAGTTCCTGTTTCTGGCATCCATCTAGATTCCCAGGGCCCTGGGGCCTGGACCCTGTCATAACCCCAACCCACTTGGTTGAGCCTGTTTCCTGGGGCTCTGGGAGAAAGTGAAGATAAAATCACATTTTGGAAGAAAAATATTAAGCTCAATTTTAGACACACTTTGCGTTTGAGGAGCCCATGGCTACGTCTAGTAGGCACTGACACTGCTTCCTTGCAGTCAACGGATAAGTTGGAGTAAAGATGCAAATAGGCAGCATCCATTTCACTGGATTAGATTACAAAAGAGTTTTGCATGAGAAGGAGAAAAAAGTGGGAAAACAGAAAGTTACATTGACTGGTCAGAAGAAGAACATGAGCCGGCCAAGCAATCTGAGAAAGAATGGTCCAGGGGTAGAAGGGGAGCCAGGAGAAAGTGAATCATGAAAGTTAAGAGAAGACAGTTTGAAGCAGGATGGAATGACCGTATAGGTCAAACTGTGCAGCAAGGTTAAGTAAGATGAAAGCTGAAAGTAGTTCACAGTATTTCATGTTTGAGACATTGTTGTCTTTAAAGAGAGCAGTTTCATCAAAATGGAGATAGCAGTAAGGCGAGGTCATCTTAGGTATAAGGAGTGGCTGGCTGGTAAAGAAGTGGACAATCCTCTCTAGAAGTTTGGATGTGAAGGAAAAGAGACATCTGAGCAGAAGCTTAAGGATGAAGAGAGATGGTAGACTGATTGCAAAAACACTCCTAAGTTTTCATCCCTCCCTTTGAAATTTGACCTTACAGCTTATAACATCATGAAGTAAGATCTACTTCCTTGCTCCTGGGCTGGCCTTGTGACTTGCTTTTACCATTAAAATGAGATGGAAGTGATATTGCACCAATTCAAGAAGACTTGCGTACTTCTCTCTCTCTCTCGAAATCCTGCTCAGCCACCATGAGAACAAACCTGAGCTCACTTACTGGGTAAGTGATCAGTGGCCCAGTCATCCATGTCACCATAACTAATAACTTGCTAATTGCCAGGCATGTGAGTGAGATCATCCTTGACCAGCCTGACCCACTAGCAACTGCATACTCATGAGGGTATATGGTCAGTATTTCAGACCCAAGAAAAGTCAGAGGAGCTTGGCCCAAATCAATAAAATTGCCCAGATGACGCATCAACTTTTGAGTAATAAAAATGCTTATTATTTTAAGCCACTGTTTTTGGGTGCTTTGTTATCCATCACTAGTTAACTGATTCAAGAGATTATTAGAAGTTTTTCATTAT